TTGTATATCATATATCGTTTGATTTCTTACTAGCTTTAGGGGGTTTGAATTTTTTCCTTTTTTACTGCTTTTCTTGTAATATACATATGAACCCTTTCATTGTACAAAATATGGAGAAATAATAGAAATCAATTTCTCTCCAGTAAAAGTTTTGTTATTTTTTATTTCACTGTTGCCAACATCTATCGATCAATCGAGCCATTTCACGATGTTCAATTAATGGGATCTTTTGTTATTTTCATTGGCTCTTGTATACCAACTTGAGATTCTGCTAATATTTTTCAGATCTTAATATTTTATTCCATTTTTTTCAGGTACCTGCGACTTATTGTTGTGGAGGCACTACGTTTATACCCACAGCCTCCATTGCTGATTAGGCGTTCGCTTAGATCAGATCGCTTACCAGGTAAAGTTTTTGTTAATAGAACTATAAGATTTCATTTTGAGTCATATAATACAATGCTTTAAAAAAAAAATAAAAAAAATTCAGAATGAAGTCAGAGTTGTTGATTTGGAGATAGGATTCTATAGTGAACTTGTGATATTGTGGATACTTTCACAGTTAACAATCTATTCAAAATTGTTCCATGTTTCTTTTTATTATCTAGTGGATTCATAGTTAGGTGTAATTAAATTTATTTGTTCTTTTGCATTATTCATTCTTCCATTTCCCTTGTGTGTATACAAATTTTCCTGTGCACTAGTGAGCAGATACTTTGACATAATTTCGTATTTGGAAAAGGTATTCAAGCGTTAGAAGCAGCTGAGGCCTTGAAATTATATTTCATTTTGCTAAATTTACTGTAGTGTTAGATTACTAAACATCAGTGCCATGTGCTGCAAGTTCCAAAACTTCCATGCTGGTATACAAGTGGTTTACTGGACTAATTTTATTTGGTTTTCCACTGTTTCTACTCCCATCTTTTGTCCACTCTCCCACAGGAATGCAAGGAGTATAATTTACATTGTACTGGAAATTTGATGACTCCAATATGTCCAGGGTAGTTAGCAGTTTAGCAGCTTTACTGCCAAGGTTGGATACTTTATTTTAGGCAATGATACCAACATTTAGATGGAATAAAATAAATTCTTTGAGGAATGTATAGCAACATGAACTGGACAAGTAAAAACGATGGTGGGGGTGGTCATAGAACATTAGAAGTTATGTGCAATGGAGATGTTATTATCTAATTCTGCATTGTAAATTATGAATATAGCTTATAGTTCATTGTTAGTTTCCACTGGGATGTATGAACCTATCATTTTACAACTGAAACCAAAGTGAGGACTCAGAATGCTCAAAACCCTACAAGGGCAATGAACTGTGGCTGGTGTTTTATGTTTATGGTATTGAAAAGTTAATTGGGATGCCTGTTCGTCACTTTTGGCCATCCACTAGGTTTTCCGAAGAAATATATATATATATATTTTATTTATTTATTTATTTATTTATTTATTTTTTATTTTTTTTCAAACATCAGAAGAAAATTTGCGGCTGGTGTTTTATGTTTATGGTATTGAAGAAGTTAATTGGGATGCCTGATCACTTTTGGTCATCCACTAGGTTTTTCAAAGAACTGTTTATTCTAAGACAGATAAATATTTTTATTTATTTATTTATTTATATTTTTTTTTAACTTAGAAGAAAAATGTGTAGAACTTCTGTTTTGTCCTCTTCAATTTTCGGATGAGTCATGACATTCTTGATTTATAGAGGTCCTGCAATTAGATGCCAGTGTGTATTCATGGTGTGAACTAGCGATTTCAGATATAATTTTTCTTTACTTGCATCAATAAAAATCTAGGACATTATTCTCAGAAACAGAAGAGACAACAAAATGCAAAATGCTTGATTTGAACTTATTGTTAAGTTGTGGAGCCTAATTATTGTCAATCCTAATTATTGTCACTTAGCGGAGTTGATCGCAGATCGATAATAAGGACTGCTATTTCTCTGCCATTTCTATTCCAGCTAATTATTTTGTTTCTCCAAGTGCTTATAATTCTTCAGTTGCAGTAAGTTCTTTTTTATCTTCAAAAATCAGAAATTTATACATGAAATAACATCTTAAATAAGCTTTTGCTTAACTTTTAATTATTTTTCTATTGCGAACAATATCCCAAAATTTCCAAATTCGTCTCCTTTACATTAGATGAATGTCCTGAACTAATATATCAATTTTCAGGTGGTTACAACGGTGACAAAAATGGATATGAGATTCCACCTAGCACTGATATACTCATTTCTGTGAGTCTTTACTTCTTCTCTTCGTTAATCTATGAGAGATCATGTAAAGTGAACTTGCATAATGCGCTCGCTTTCTTTGAAATTTCGTGATGAGAACTAATATATTTGGGGTACTCGAAATAAATAGTTTAAAACAAACAGGTAAGCAGAGTTAACACCATTCTGAACTAATAAAAATTGATTGATGTTTACTGCAAACACGTATGGTTCCATTTAATAAGCTGTCCTGTATAAATTAAACAGGTGTATAATCTCCATAGATCTCCATATTTTTGGGACAAACCTAATGAATTTGAGCCTGAGAGGTTTCTAGTACAAAAGGAGAGTCAAGGCATTGAAGGGTGGGCTGGTTTTGATCCGTCCCGTAGCCCGGGAGCGTTGTACCCAAATGAGGTCATTGATCTGTTACTTTAGTCATATTCTCATGTTCCATCCAACTTTCATAACCTTTTTACCAGTGTCATTATTTTTGATCAGGTTATATCAGATTTTGCCTTCTTGCCTTTTGGTGGGGGGCCAAGAAAATGCGTAGGTGACCAATTTGCCCTCATGGAGTCGACTATAGCACTTGCAATGTTACTCAAAAAGTTTGACGTCGAGCTTAAAGGATCTCCAGATTCCGTAGAACTTGTTACTGGAGCAACCATTCACACAAAGAATGGATTGTGGTGCCGGTTAAAGACGAGGCCAAATGTTCATTGAACATTCTGAGCAGAAAAATACTAAAGATGAATTGTAGTTTTTGCATAAGTTGTATTTGAAGAACACTGCATAGCAAATAATGTAGAAGGGTGCACAGAATAGTACTTCAACTGTATTTAACATTTATAAACTTGTGAAGTGGAAATGAAAATAAAAATTGCAAAAAGCTTTCCGCATTCTTTTGTTGAATAATGATATTCATAGTGAAAAATATTAACAATCGTTTTATGTGACATACATGTGTTGCTTTGTTATTTGATGCATTGACGTGGTAGGTTTTTTTTTTTTTTTTTTTTCTTTATAGATTGATAAGATGTCAAAAAGATAGTCGAGGAACTTTTTTTTTTTTTTTTCCTTCTAAATTTTATTGATGAAATGTCAAAAAGAAAGTGAAGGATTTTTTAATTTTTTTTTAAATTTAGTGATGGGATATTAATCCAATCAAATCTCACCATGTTATTCGTTGATAAATAAATAACTACTTAGTTATTATACGTAAATCCAAATTTTTTTCTATTTTTTTAGCTACACATTTTCCAAAAACTAGTTATCTCAAAATACATTTTTCTCCAAAAATAACAATGTTTACTTTTCTTGAGGGACAATAAAATAGATCGTGCTACATTTAGGGTTTCGTTTGATTCTCATTTTTATCAAAATACATTTTTTGTCTTTTCTTTTTAATCTTACATTCTTTATTAAAATAATATTACACGTAAATAATGAGCCTGAGAGGTTTCTAGTACAAAAGGAGAGTCAAGGCATTGAAGGGTGGGCTGGTTTTGATCCGTCCCGTAGCCCGGGAGCATTGTACCCAAATGAGGTCATTGATCTGTTACTTTAGTCATATTCTCATGTTCCATCCAACCTTCATAACCTTTTTACCAGTGTCATTATTTTTGATCAGGTTATATCAGATTTTGCTTTCTTGCCTTTTGGTGGGGGGCCAAGAAAATGCGTAGGTGATCAATTTGCCCTCATGGAGTCGACTATAGCACTTGCAATGTTACTCAAAAAGTTTGACGTCGAGCTTAAAGGATCTCCAGATTCCGTAGAACTTGTTACTGGAGCAACCATTCATACAAAGAATGGATTGTGGTGCCGGTTAAAGACGAGGCCAAATGTTCATTGAACATTCTGAGCAGAAAAATACTAAAGATGAAATTGTAGTTTTTGCATAAGTTGTATTTGAAGAACACTGCATAGCACATAATGTAGAAGGGTGCACAGAATAGTACTTCAACTGTATTTAACATTTATAAACTTGTGAAGTGGAAATGAAAATAAAAATTGCAAAAAGCTTTCCACATTCTTTTGTTGAATAATGATATTCATAGTGAAAAATATTAACAATCGTTTTATGTGACGTACATGTGTTGCTTTGTTATTTGATGCATTGACGTGGTAGGTTTTTTTTTTTTTTTCTTTATAGATTGATAAGATGTCAAAAAGATAGTCGAGGAACTTTTTTTTTTTTTTTTTTCCTTCTAAATTTTATTGATGAAATGTCAAAAAGAAAGTGAAGGATTTTTTAATTTTTTTTTAAATTTAGTGATGGGATATTAATCCAATCAAATCTCACCATGTTATTCGTTGATAAATAAATAACTACTTAGTTATTATACGTAAATCCAAATTTTTTTCTATTTTTTTAGCTACACATTTTCCAAAAACTAGTTATCTCAAAATACATTTTTCTCCAAAAATAACAATGTTTACTTTTCTTGGGGGACAATAAAATAGATCGTGCTACATTTAGGGTTTCGTTTGATTCTCATTTTTATCAAAATACATTTTTTGTCTTTTCTTTTTAATCTTACATTCTTTATTAAAATAATATTACACGTAAATACAAAAAAAAAAAACCTTTGCTTTATATTTGATCCATACATTATTTATCAATCTACTATTTTAAAATTTATTTTTCCATAAAAATGGGTATCAATAGATAATAGTTTTGGTTAAATCGAAATTAAAATAATAATAATAATAATAAATAAATAAATTCTCCACTAGAATGTTCAAAACTTAAAAATTGACACCTTCCAATTTTACAGGAAATGCATGATTTGCGTGTCGAGAATTCTTTTTTCCATTATAATTTGACTACAATTTATTTTCTCCACAATTTCCTCTCAAATGAATCTCATGGATCGCTTTGCAGGGAATTTGAGATCGAAAGTTTCACCATTAAATGGAAAAATGGTTTTCGCTGAAATATTGAAAAAGGTATACTTCATTTTTCCTCTTTTCCATCCCCCAAAGAACAAATAAATGGAAATTATTTGACCAATCATTTGGAATTGGTGTGTGCTTAGTTTTTTCTGACCAGATTTTTACTTGACATGCGTATTTTTACTTGGAATAATTCTGTTTTATGTAGGATGGAAATTCGATTAAATTATTGTTCATTTTTCTGGGTCTTTAATTTAATATATTATGCTTTTTTATTGCTGACAAAACGATGGAGGGTAATGGGGAAACAATTCAATGTCTGATATTATTCAGTAATAATACGGTGTTCCTTCACAATGTAGGTGTATCTTAAGGTAAAAAGATATCTTATTAATATAGAGAATTTGCATCCCTTGTTTATTCAGTTCTCTGGCAAATTTGCCTATGAGGAACACATTATTTTGATAATAAATGCCTTAATAATATAAACCATGCCAATAACCTGTCATGTCTTCAACCAGAATTGTAGCTATTTCGGGGGGAGGTTCAATTGTCCAACGTTGCATAACTTCTTCATAACTTGCCATTTCTGCTAATTTCATGGCAGCCCTGTTAGCAAATTCTGCCACAGGGTGAAATTTGACCAGTTTAAATGCTTGTAAATGATTATGACATATATGGGCGATGGATCTTATCGAAGGCACAAGTGTTGCCTTGTCATCAAAGGCCACCTCGATTGCATCCACAGAATGTCCCTCAACCTCAAGGTAATCAATGCCTTGTACTATGGCTTCTCGTAGACCCAACTCAAGAGCTACAAGTTTCGCTTCAAGGTGGCTGAAATCATTAGACAATGGCTCTGCACGAGCGGCTTTGAATAAGCCATGATGCTCACGAAGGACATAACCTGCTCCTCCTTGACTCAGCTCATTGGGGCTGCAGGCAGCGAAATTTAGTTTCCATGCATCTTCCATTGGTGTTGTCCAGGCTATGGTATGTAGCACTTGAATGGAGCTGTCGATGTAAAAATGTTGGCGAGGTTTTGGTTGATAGCCTAGAAGTATGGTTCTCATTGTTTAGGTTGTTTGATTGTGAAATAAGGTAAAGTTGGTGTTTAGAGACTGTATGGTTTGCCTGTGAAACACTAATCACTATTTATAGGAAACAACTAGTAATTGCATTCTGCTCTGGAAATTAGATATATTTTAATACGCAACGGCTAGTTTATGGTCAATAGTTTGTAAAGTTTTCACAACGTTACAAAACGTATAAAACTATTAATTGCCTTAAATGGTGATTGATGGAACTAAAATTTGAATTCACAACTTTTTTGGAAACAGCTGTAAGCATTGATGAATGTATTATATTCTTTATAGTTCACGAAGAATTTGAATTTCAAGCTTTCTCTGCTTGGGCTTGATGCATTAATATGAATGTGCTAGATGATGCCTTGATTACCTTCCTGTTGTCTTCTACTTCTTGCTGTGGTCTCTGAATCTTATTCTTTATATAGTGCACATTTTCATAATATTTTGACTGGTTATTTTGTAATCTACACTTACGACATTGTTTCTGCTACTTTGCTAAAATATAAATTTAGACACAGGAGTATTACTAATGCATTAGAGTATATGAATATTAGAGAGTAGCCTGTGAAAATTGATGGTGAATATGATTTAAGAAGCACGAATACGTGTAAATTTATTGCATATTGTGTGTGGATACATATCCAAGCTTGGATATGCTCTAGTATGTTCAAGATATGTATTTTTTAATTATTTTTATTTTTTTAAGTTTTCAATACGTTTTGGACATGTTAAGACACATGAAGAAGAGTTTTTAAGCTTTAAACTATTTTTAAAAAATCATTATTATTGGCTATAGATTGTAAGTTCTATACGTAACAAATAAATACTGTCATTATTAACTTATTGAAAATAGATAGATATATTAATTAATAATTTCAATGAAAGTAAACATGTGTTAAGATAATAGGTAATATTGAAAATGGATATAGTGTTAAATAATTGGCAATTAGAGTTTTATTATTGAAAATAGACAATAGTATTAAAACTTTTAATATATGTGAAATTGTATTAATAATTGATAACTATAGTTTTATTATTGAAAATAGATACAGGTATGAATTTTTTTTTTTTTTAATAATGAAATTATGCGGAATTTCATGATTTAACTTCTGAAAATACTACACACACATATATATACACATGTATTTGCGTATCCTAATTATTTTAAAAAGTTGTATAGACGTGCTTTTATCATGTCATATCCAAATTACATATTTGAATCTGTGTTTCTTAGCATATAATGTCTTGTTACTTGTCTGTCTTGATTGTTAATCCCTAATGGATGAATCGACTTGTACATAACCTCACCTCAACTTAACTAGGGCTTATCTCATACTTGTCTAGCAACTACTTATATCATCTTCTTCTATTTCTGATGCTTGCACTCTTTGAAATAGTTGGAGTATCCGTGTCGAACATGACATGACATGGGTATAACTATGGGTATGGAATAGGTGTCGGATCTTCCAAGTTTCAATCAGACACTTCGTCTTTTTGCTTCTTCTTTATTTTTTTTTTCTTTCTTTTTTCTTTCCCGTTTATACTCTTTATACACCCGGCATGCCATCAAGAGGGCGAATAAAGGTAGCAACACTAGGTTTGTTCTTTTTTCTTCTTCTTTCTTTTCGCTTTTCATTTCCTTCTTTTTTCCATTCTTTCCTACTCTGTTTCAGGGGTTTATGGTTTTATTTGTATAAAATGAAAATAGGCCCCATTTAGTGTTACTTAGTTCTCTACTAAGTCCAACTTGCAATCAAGTTTTTTCTATTATTTGCTAATTTATATAACATATAGTAATTTCCATAATTGAAAACTAAACTCGAAAATTCTATCTTATTCGTTTTAACTCTTTATTCAAAACACATTTCTTTCTTTATGAATAATTGATTTTGGTCTATTCAAAATGATATCTTGAATTAGTAAAAAAGTTGAAGTTTGAAAGACATACTCATGTACTCGTGTCTGTAATGTGGACTCTTTTTAGCCATGTCCTCGTATCCTACATTTTAAAAAATAAAAGATTCGACGCTTCGATACATACCCGTAACCATATCCGAGCATCATAGTCTTCTACTCTACTCCATCAAGTGTCCTAGGTGGTCGTCTATAGGAGAGAGGCCAACGTGTGAGATTCTATCAATGGGCTTTAAAAACTACGACTGCATTTGTCGTTACTTTGTGAAATGGTTAACCCAAGTTGGTAAGGAAACCCCTTAGACAGTGTACACCCACATATGAACAAAATTAAATTCCATTCAACGATGGTGTTGGATTTTATCACACCTTATTCACTCGTAACCAATTAATCCACTACACCAAGTCAACTATTTCTTAATTACTTATTTCATGTACTTTTTGATTGACCTTTTACTTTAGGTTTACAATTGATGATAGTTTAATCACTCTTCCTAAGGTTGAATTTGGATGTCTTCGTGAACTACGCCTAACTAGCTTGAGTGTAGTTGTTTGTCTTTGTGTATGTTATCTTAATAAATTCTTGAATATGCTTACTATCTGATAAGGATTTGGATTGTCAAAGGATATTTAAATGGACGTGAAACAATAATAAATAAAAATGGAATTATAGGCTTTCGAAAGGCCTACTCTTTCCTCATGTTTCAATCCTATTTTTTCTCAATGCATCCACAGATTCACATACCCATTTATTTATTTGGTGTCTAATCTATTCCGGGAACTTACCTCATCTTTCCTTGCTCCTTCTTTCCCTCTTCTCTCCTCTTTCCTTGGTGATTTCCTCCGCTTTTCTTGCTGCTTTCGCCCTCTTCAGTGCTGGTAATGACGGTTTTGAAGTTATCTGCTGCCAAAAATAATGAAAAAGCTAGCGGAATTTCTACTCACTAGGAAGATGTTTATGTTATATTTAAAAGGATGCATATATTGATTTGGACTCTCATAGGAATTGCTAGTAATCAGCCATGAAGTCCCTTGAAAAGGCTAGTTAAATTCAATCAAATTAAAACTATCGTGATTTGTGTGAAAAAAATCACATCTTTTGAGATATTGTGGATTTGATTCAATTGAAGTTTATTGATAAGATAAATTCTTATTGGCATTCAGATATGGTTTGCACTGTGAAGTACAATTTCTACCAATTGCTGCATTTAGACATTCTAGTATTGGCTGCATAATTCGATTCCTTCCCTTATTTAAGTGTGTAAAAATTGTACATCAGGTTTTATTGCAGGAATTGAGTGAAATGCCCAAGGAAATTACTAACAGATGGATTGTGGCCAGGGACATAAACGAGGTTCTGAGAGTCGAGGAAAGGTTTTGTGGAAATCTTCGTCGTTCTAGTGCAGGTACGGAATTTTTAATTGCTATCTCAGGTTTCAATGGAAACAGATATATTTGGAGTGATTTTAGTGCTTGACAAAAGCTTGTTCATTTCAATGATGAATGTGATAGAAGTTCAAGACTTTTATGGCATGTTTGATCCAGGGAATCGACTCTCCACAACTCAACATTATTAAAGTGTTATCAATTGACCTGTTGAGTTGTTTCTCATTGCATATCAAAAAAATTTCTAACTACTTCGATGGTTGCAAGGCGGGTGCGGTCAACAGTGACAATTGTTTCCATCCTATGTTCAATCGGCCATCCCCTAAAGCATAAAATAACGCTGAATAGTAATTCAAGGCCTCCATAAATCTCCCTAGAAAGCTAACCCCATGACTTAAGTCTTGTTCAGCAACAGTGATGAATTTAGGCTTTGACAAAGTCAACAATGTCAATGTTCCTATACAACTCCCTGTAATGTCATACAAGCAATGGTGCATTCAATGCACCCCAATAGTTTCTCCAATCCTAGTTTCCCAATTGACTGAGATCCTTGTGTTGCCAATTTTGCCTTCCAAATGCTAGAAATGGGAAGGAATGCTAAGTGCGTAGATGAACTCTTGTAAAGCTGGCACGTTGAGTTCAATAGTCTCATGGAGGGTCTAATGCTGGTGATTAGAATGAACTTGATTTTTTGCAATTTGCAGTCGAGGATATTGAACAATCCCAGCCATTGGATGCCCTGCACAATGTCATGGTCAATGATGTGGACATGATCAGCATGTTCAAGGGCCTGTTGAATGGCTTGACTGGCTGTGAAATGTGAGAATTTGATTAAAAAGGTGACGGAGTTGAAGATTGGAGGCGTTGAGGAGCTTCTGATGGTAGGTTTTGATGAGCGTGGTGAGAGGGGAGTAGGTGTCCGGGTAGGAGCTGGTGATCTGAGCTGAAATGGCGTCGAGGAAGTAAGTTGCCATGTGCTGAGCAGACAAGCCAAACCGAGATTACACTCGGCTGTCCAGGTCGAGTTGACTGGCATTGTCCAAGTGTCCATGGCTACACACTCAGTGGATTGTAGGAGGAGGCCAAGGAGGCGGATCTTCCTGTGATTCTTGTTCCTTCTTAATGGAGATTGAAATTTTGTTTTATGATATGGGTTTTCGATTTTTAGTAATTATGTTAACAATGGATACACTCTACGACATTGATCGGTGCTCACATTTAGAACCAATCATGACTCAAAATGGACTAGTTTGACATTGACTAAAAATCAATACATCTAAGATTTTTATGTTACTTTAAATTTCGCGTGAGACTATCCAATACAATGTAATTATTAATCTCATTTATCTCGAAGTCACCATTTTTATTCACCATAGTTTTAAAACTAAGCTCCTATTTAATAGGAATTAAAATCAAAATTTTAGTAAATTTTGATAAAAGTTAATGAAATGTTATTAAAAATTGTGGGTCTTATGAAATATATGATTAAAATTTATTGTAGATTTTGACTGAAATCAAAATTTGTATATAACGGGGGTTGAGTTCGCAACTTTATATATTTATTTTATAAAAAGTACCAAGTCATTTATCGGTTCAATTGCTTGAATTTTGAAAACTGTCAAAAAATCGATATAATTCTTTACAAATCTTCTGCTAACAAGGATGTTTAAACATCTGGCAACAAAGCTTAATTCATTCAACTATTAGCGTTTGGAATATACTAGCCAAATTGGATCAGAATTTGGATTGTCGAGTTTAATCGTAAAACCAACTGAAATGAATCTTGGGATGAAAATTTCTTTTTTTGGACAAAAATATTTAAAAGAGTCATGTTATTTAGCTCCATTGGGATTACCCTGTTTATATAACGTTAATGTGACAGTAAATAATAGGTAAAATTAAATAATATATAGCACCAGTGGGACTATAGTCCCAGCTTATGTGGCATTAATATGACATTAAATAATAAGTGAAATTAATCATTTAATTTCACCTTTCACTTAACATGTCACGAACACCACATAAACTCAAGTTATTGACGCTGATTGGGGGGCAACCCCAGCCAAGTTGGTCGGGCAGTTGGACTAGCAATCGTGAGGTTGCTAGTTCGATTCCCGTTGGAGCTGCCTATTGGCCTTCTTGGTTTGAGACGGTCAGCTATGGGTAACCTAGGCTGGTTTACCTCCATGTGGTCCTTTGCCGGCTAGGATCACAAGGCGGGGTTTACCTAGTGCGCACCTTCGAATAGCGGCTGCGAATTCCCTTGTAAAAAAAAAAAAAAAAAGGTTATTGACGCTGATTGATTTGCCATGTTACATTTTCTTTTTAAAGGGGTAAAATGGTAACTTTACATTATATATAAAATAAATTTTAAAAAACCAAAAATAAATTTTTTTATTTTAAAAATAATTTTATTTTATTTTATTTTTCTAGGTAACATTTTTTAAAATAAGTTTTTATCTTCTTTTAAATACTTTTTTTAAAAATAATTTTTTATTCTATTTTATTTTTTAAGGAATGTTAATTTAAAATAAATTTTTATTTATTTTATTTTTCTAATTAACTTTTTAAAAATATATATATTTTTTCGTTTATTTTAGAAACGTCTTTTTTTAAATAAATTTTTATTTTATTTTGAAAAAGATTTTTTTTAAAATAAGTTTTTATTTTTTTTTTTAAGAAACTTTTTTTAAACAAGTTTTTATTTTTTTTTAAAATAAGCTTTTTATTTGTTTAAAATTTATTTTATTAATATAATACAAAGATGTCATTTCACAAAAAGTTGGATGACCTGAATGAAAAGTGATATGAAAGTAGAAGATTGCGGTAAAATAAAATTAAATTGAGTAGTCTGAGTATGAAATTGGGTGACAATTAATGAATTTAGCCCCCTTAGGTTTACTTTTCTTGTTTTCGAGGGACAATAAAACAAGAAAATTGACAATTTCCCATTCTACTAGAAATGCATGAATTGCGTGTCGAGAATTGTTTTGGGTACCGCTATTTCCATTCACATTTTTTTATATTTACATTCACTTTAAAAAAAAATTTATTATATTTGAAATTCTATGTAAATTTACTTAAATAGACGTAAATAAAATTAAATAAAAATACATTCTTCTATATTCATCCACTTATTTTTATTTTCATTAAATTATCCTAAATCTTTTTACATTCTTATAGATTTGTGTTTAACTAGAACCCTAATAAATCAGAAAAAACTACATGAATATGCTCGTAGCATTCTAATACTCGAAATTTAGTAAACAATGTACGTGCTTGAGCACATATATACAGACATAGCAATATATGAAGAGGAATATGAAAAAGTAAGGATTACCTTTTTATTGTGTTTTGTTGTTTGATTTTTGTTTGAATTTGGATAATTTAATTTTCTTTTCTTGATTTTACCTGTTATTCCTAAGTCTAATTGGTAAGGGCCTTCAGTCACTGAGCAATTTATGGCGTGAAAACTCTGTCTTTATTGTTGTTTGCATTGCATGCTTTTTTTCTCCTCTTTCAACTATGTCGGAAAGCTAATAGTGCCTATATCGAAAGTGATGTTCTATTTCTTAAATTATTAACCACCCTACTTCTCCATAAGAAGAAAAGAACATAATTTTTTTTCTTTATCTGGATTTAATTCTTTGCTGTACAGAATCCTATGTTTTGGCACACGCATTGCTTTTTTCTAGAAGCACAATGTCGTCCTTAATTGACTTTATGTTGGTTACCCCTATCAAGGGGCTGTGGTGGAATTTCTTGTAGATATAGTACAGAAATAAATGGTTGCTAATTTGTTGAACGAGAAAGACAGTAAGATAAACTTTGAAAGTACATAATTATATGAGTTTGTTAATTGATTGCTTGTTGAGGCATTTTTTTCAGCAATTTCTAACATATAGGCCCTAAAACCAAGCTTGTTTTTCCTTTTATGGACGTTTGGTAAAGAGGATTGGATGACAATGGATAAAACCTTTTTTTTTTTTTGGGTGTGCTTGGCATATTCAATGTCTCTGCTCTCTTTTTATGGTCACAAGACCTTTTTTTTGCTCTCAATTGAAGTAGGTTTCTCCACAAATATTTAGAAAAGTTCTAATTCATCTGCTATTTCTCATTTTATTATTTTGCTCTCAACTGTAGTGGGTTTCTTTACAAGTATTTGGAAAAGTTCCAATTCATCTGTTATTTCGCATACTTACTTGATGTTTTAATTGTTATCTTACTTACTTTTGAATTTATGTCAATGACAATATTTGACACAATACTTTTAATGTAGGATGCATCAACACATAACTATGATGTCCAAAATGAATTTATTTGTTGATTATACTGATATATTTACGAGAAACATGGTACATAATGATTTTATTTTTAATATGATCATATGTTTATATACAAATATTTGATGTCCAGAATGAATTATTTGTTGATTATGCAGATATGTTTACGACAAACATGGTGCATAATGATTTTATTTTTTAATATGATCATATATTTATATACAAATATTTGATGATAAACAGATGTTTACAAATAAAGAGGCATCGATTGATTGGGTTAAAACTACTAGTAAGAGACATAACATGATTGTTGTTATGAAAAAATCTGAGTTAGGCCAAGTTGGGAGAAAACCAAGAATTGATTTCGCGTGTGAAAGATATGATTCATATAGGTGTAGGAATACCAACAAAGAAAATGAAAAAGGGTCGTCCATCTTCAAAGATAGATGTATCTACTCGTTAAGAGTCATCGTATTTTGAGTTTGTGCTATTTGGACAAGACAATACATTACAACAATTGGATAGTTCCATTATGCCTTTAAGTCAGCCTACACTATCAAGCCAGCCTTCAATTCGACAAAAACAAAAAGTGTATCAAGCACATGGATCAAAGTCCATGGCTTATTTTGACTCATTTCCTTTGACACCTTACATAATTGGTGTGAAGGATGTAGCTTCAAATGGCAATTACGATTTTCGGGCTGTGACTAATATTTTACGCATAGGTGAAAATAATTAGTCTTTGGTCAGAAAAAGACCTAATAAAACAGCTTGAATCTCATTTTGATGATTACTGTAGACACTATGGAAATGATGATATAGTTCATGAGTTAATTCATTCACTTTCTCATTTTAAGGTTATGCTAGTCGTGAGTATTGGATGACCTTGCCGAGTATGGTTCATATTATTGCTTCAAGATATAAGGTTATTCTTGTTCACTTAAGCCAACAACAATGTCTTACATTTCTTCCACTTTGAGATAAACCCCTTGCAATTGCATATCATAAGATTGTTGTAATTGGATTTGTCAATGGCTGCCATTTTGTCTCGATTAATATTTATTAAATTAATTGAATTTCTAATTAACTAAATTATATTTCTACTTGCGTATTTCTATATAATTGTGTGCAGATAAATTGGCATACTAGTGAACCAATGCCTCATATTGCTTGTAATTGGTACAAGTACCATCATCCATGTGCAGAGGGCTGGGCTACACCTTATAATGCTAGGACGCAATTTTTTTAGGTTCAAAGTAGAAGAAGATTTAGCTACATCAGAGATAATCAATTTGGATAAACCATAAGAATAGTAAAGGATAACACTACTATTATTATTTGAACGGTTAATTGATTTGTTTACCACTATTTAATTACTGATCAGTTTATGATAGCATGGATTTGGGATGAAGAAAAACTTGATGAAGATTTGGTTTGGTTATGTTTAAGTGTTAGTTCTTGGTTGTGTCAGTATGAGTGGTTCATGACTTTTCATTTTTTATGATGTAATATTATTTAAAAGTTTAAACCGACTAACCAATTTGATTTGCGGTCGGTTCGGTTTAAGAGCTAGAGTGAATTGATTTTGGTTGAAATTTTTTCAAATCGACTATTTGGTTTTGGTTTCGGGTTGGGATCAAAACCAACTCGAACCAAACTGCGAATTTATTGTTGTTTTCTTTGATAGATTGAGTTTTAAGAACAAGAACAACAAAACTTCTAATCTAACATTGTTAAGCGAATAATATATGTTAAATAATGTTCAATTTTGTTCTTATATTGTTCATCTGGCTTAAAAGAGTTCATGGTTTTAGGGAATATGGAGATCTATAATGTTAGATATGTATTTAAAGTGAGATGAATATATAAAATTCATTTGGATTTATAGTATTTAAATGAATGAATTTAATAAAGATGAGATACGAATATTACAGTAGATGTAAATAATATTCTTTAAAAAAATATTAAAATTTAATAGGGATGAATTTAGAGGTTGATGTAAATATACCCATTGTTTTTCCCATTCTAATTTGACTGCAATTTCTTTTGTCCACAATTTCCTCTCAAGTAAATCAAGCATCGCTCTGCGGGGATCTGGGATCGAAACATTCACCAGTAAATGGAAAAATGGTTTTCGCTGATGTACTGAAAAAGGTCAGATATAGACTTCATTTTCATTTCTCTATCCCCTAAAGAATAAATAAATAGAAATTATTTGGCCAATCTTTGAAATTGATTTGTGCTTCATTTTTTTTCTAACCAAATATTTACTTGACTTGCGTATTTTTACTTGTAATAAATCTGTTTTACATGGGATTGCAATTCGATTAAATTATTGTTCATTTTTATGGCCTCTAATTTATTATGCTTTTTATTGCTGACAAAATGATGGAGGATAATGGGAAAACTCTTCATGTAATTAATGCGGTGTTCCCTCACAATGTAGGTATATCTTAGGGCAAAATGATATCTTATTAGTATAGAAAATTTGCATCCCTCGTTTATTCATTTCTCTGGCAAATCTGCCTTTCTGCCTGTGAGGAACAACATTATTTTGATGATAGAAGAATGCCTTAGAATAAACCATGCCAATACCCAGTCATGTCTTCAATGAGTATCGTAGCTATTTCGGGGGGAGGTTGTATAATCCAGTGTTGCATCCCTGCTTCATCAGTTGCCATTTCTGCTAATTTTATGGCAGCCCTGTTAGCGAATTCTGTCACAGGGTGAAATTTAACACATTTAAATGCTCGTACAAGTTTACGGCATTTATGGGCGATGGAACTTTTCGAGGGCGTAAGTGTTGCCTTGTCATCAAAGACCACTGCGATGGCATGCACATTATGTCCCTCAACCTCAAGGTAATCAATGCCTTGTGCTATGGCTTCTCGTAGACCCAACTCAAGAGCTACAAGTATCACATCAAAGTGGCTGAAATCATTTGGCAATGGCTCTGCACGAGCAGCTTTAAATAAGCCATGATGCTCGCGAAGGACGTTTCCTGCTCCCCCATGCCTCAGCTCATTAGGGCCACAGGCAGCGAAATTTAGCTTCCATGCATCTTCCATTGGTGTTGTCCAGGCTATGGTATATAGCACTTGAATAGAGCTGCGACAGTAAAGATGTTGGCGAGGTTTTGGTTGATAGTCTAGAAGTATGGTATTCATT